TGACCTTCCCAGTGATCCAACAAGACTTTGGCCACTTGCTGCTTCTGATCTATAATTTCTTCCTCTATAAGTTGGAACGTGTAGTTGGATCAAGCCCTAGAGAACACCTTATCCAGTCTCCTTATATTAATGATAAAGGGACTTTGTCTCAAAGTCTGTAGACTATTTACACAATACTTCGTTTTTCTTATTTGTTGTTTTAAAATACACATTAAAGTGGGGTGTATTTTGATCCCATTCTTGTGGTTGAACATGATACGGAATTATACTGGTCATGTATTCATATATAAACATAGGAAAGTTATGTTTGATTCATTCTATTGTCTTTCCTATTCCCATTTCCCCTCCCTCCCCTTCACTCTCCCCATACTTCTTACTGATAGAGTTAGAATGAAAAAAGTATCAGCTTTCCATGCACCATCTCTAACAGCTTTGCTTCCATTCTTCAGAATGACTCTTCCAGCATCTCAGCCCTTCAATCTCCAATGTGCTTCTTTCTTTTCCCTTTATTTCTCCATATTTATCAGAGAACATGTCCTGTCTAGGAACTCTGGATCCAGACAGCCTTTCTAGATTACCCTGCTAGTCCACCCCCAAAATACTGAAATCCAGTCATAGCAAACTTTTCATCCTTCCCCAAACAGAGCCTGCCTTTTACCACCCATGATGTTTCAACAGATCCTTCCTTATTACAGTACCTTTCTTCCCAGACTGCAAAACCAGCAAAGGTGTCTCTAGTCCTTTGGAACCTTTATTGATTCTCTCTAGGAGAATTCATCAATTCTTCTCCTGTACTCCTGCAACAGTCTATTCATCTTAGCACAGCCTGCTCCCCGCTTGACATATCTGTTGTGCTCACTGGACTATGAGGTTTCTTAAGGGTCAGGATTAGATCTTATTTTATTTGTTCATTGTAGTATCAGCACTTAATACAGTAGGTGGAGGATTATAGGCATGCAGTAGTTGTTTTATGAATAAATGTACCTGGATTCCTTAACTTCTTATCCAGCTGAGTTCTGAATATTGGATATCACCCAGTTGTATCCAGAGGTATGAGTAGAGATAATATAACATGAGTCATGGTAATGATGGGTCTAAAAGTCCCAATTAATATAGTCTGTGTGGAAGGACAAAATAAAACCCTTGTGATTAGGGATTGCTATACAAGTAGCCAAAAAAGTAAATGACACCTCAAGAATAAGATCCATGTTGAGGGCACAGAAATAAAGAGAAGTTGGATTTGATCTGTGCGTACCATATACACGTGTGGAAATATCACACTGAACCCATTCACATTTACAAGTAGCACATGTTAATCAAAGGTAAATTTTTTTTAAAAAAAAATCAGAACAAATACACACTGGTGTGCATGTGTATGTGTAATACTTATGATTAAAATATGTACCATCCTATTAATTCTTGTATCACTATTCACGCCTCAGTAAGAGCTGTGTGGAGAGAGGTGTAAACAACTCAAGTGTAGATCAACCCTGTTTCCTGCTCTTCCCTTGAGCACCACCCCTGCCCTTACCAGGAGGTAATATTTACAGAAGCAAGTTGCTTTTAATTCCTGTATAAGGTGTTCTTCCTTAACTTGGACTGCTGCCCCTGCAATTGTGGTGGTGTCTATCCTTATCAGAATTTTTATTTCTTTAGCTTCTTATTGCAGCAGTTGCATGGAGCATGGGAGACCCATCTCTCAATCAAGGCATGAAATACTTCAACTCCTGTGATTTGTTCCACTTTGGATATTCACACTTGTTTGGTTCATTTTTCCCACCTGGCACTGAGCACTGGGATTTTCCAAGCCATACTATTCTTTGGGAATTGGTCTCCTCAAGGCAGCATTATTTGTTCCCTGCCTCCCTCCCATCCCCACAAACTGGTCTTGGCCTTTATTAGTACTTCTAAATTCCATAATAAATCACAAGATTTGCCACATGCCAAATCTTCTAAAAGGCATACCTGGTGAATAGTCATAATGTCTGTGATCTCCCTGTCAAATATCTATTGGTCTTTCAGACCATCTCAGATATATTTTTGAGTTAGACACATGTCTCAGTCTTGTAACCCTGCCAATGCCATACCACAAGACCACAGTTAAATCTCTGCATGCTTTTGCAATGCTTCCATTTTGCTAAATCTTCCATTATTGCGCTTTTTTCCAAACAGTGGTGATAATATATTGATCCTATATAAGAAGAGCCGTCTTTAATACAACAAAGATATTCTTTACCTTCAGATCCACAATGAATAAAGCAAAAAAAAAGTGTTTGTCAGTACATTTAATTCATTTACCTCTTCCATGATAATCCACATTTCTACAACGACCTCTGACTCTAAATCTAGATTATATAAAAAGATATATAAACACAGATATATGCTATTACTGCAATAGTACCTGTACTCCTACTCTGAACTTAAAAAATAAATTGTATAAACAAGAAATAAGGTTTGCATCTGTAAAGTTATAAGCAACCACCAGAAAATAGAAACAAACATGTGTGATATGCTGAATTCTTAATAATTTAATACACAGATTAGTTTTCATACATGTAGTTGAACATTGGTTCACAAGGAAACTCAGATGTTCATTGTAAATCTTGAGTGTAAAACAACAAATATATTGCTAAGGCTTGAAATCATGTGAGTGAAATGGAAAGGTTGCCAGTTTGTAATTATAGCTATGGAAATATAATAGTGTGACTATGTAGTCAAGGGATTTAATCAGGGTGGTTGAAAAATAACAAGTGCTGCTGTTCATAATTTTGTCACATACACACATTTCCATGGCAAAAGGCCAGATGCATTTATTGCAATTCAGAGATGACAAAGAGAGCTGATGGCCCTTAATGAGCAATTGATTAGCAGTAAACAGAGAGATATTAAGAGTCTAGTTGAAATGCCATTCAGAACAGGAAGGCCATTTCCTTTATGGTGGCTCTTTACCCAACCTTATTAGTGAAGAAGGAGTAAGAAGGGAAAATTTACTTCTTGCATTTTATTATTTGATGATTATGAAGCCTAAATTATGAAGAAAAGCATAAATCTTCATACAAAAATTTACAGTCATGCAGAAATAACCTACAAGTATCTAGTAGCTCTCTTAAATGATGACCTGAGATTTGGTCCTAGAACTACTAAAATGATTGGGGAGGTGAGGATTTTTTAAAAAAATCTATTTTGCTATATTATTATCTCAGAGACTGATTATTATGCAAAAGCATATTCCAATTTCAATTTTAAAAACTACTAATTTGTTCTCAGCAGCTGTAATTTGGGATCCTATGGGATGACATATGAGGATACACAGGAAACTCTGGAGGGTGTGTGGGTTTGGTGCCTTGATTCACCAAAGCCACTTGGCTGAGATTGCCAATGTCTGCTGCTAAACTAATATAGTGGCCACAGTGTAATCCATCACAGCTGTGAACTCACAATGTACAGATACAATAATGACTTGAAAACACACTAAAGGGGATAAAATAGGATGTATCTTCACTTTGGTTGGATTTTTAGGCAGCCAAATTGGGAAGAATTAGAAGATTGTGTTGGCCTGGGTAGGTGGCACTGGTTGCATGATAATAACAGCCATCTGTGTTGCTCATGGGTAGGGAGGTCCTACTAACAGGCAGCATAGGAAAGGTGTGTGAAAGTCATGTTGAGTCTGACCCTATGTCACCAATAAACTCAATTAACCAAAAATCTACTGAGTTCCTAGTTATGGCAATTAGGGGAAAGCAAAAATGACCGATACATTGAAATAGTACTTTTTATTCAACTTTGCATATTAATTAACATTTTAAAAAATACTTTCCTTGCAGTTATTAACATATGGCTCACTAGAAATACTATCTTATTTTAGGGGATATAAATGTACACACTATTCTTCAAATTTTATTGAAAGTAATAGGTAATAATAGGCAATTTAATGTCTGTTAATTTTTTTAGTAACATTTAAAGAAAAAGCTTATCTTTACAAATCTTTTACACAAAAATTATGGCTGAGCCAGGCACAGTGACACATTGCTATAATCACAGTGGCTCAGGAGACTAAGGAGGATCACAAGTTCATAGCCAGCCTCAATAACTTAGAAAGACCCTAAACAATAAAGCAAGACCCTGACTTAAAATTTAAAAAAAGGAAAGAATTTAACAAGACCCTGTCTTAAAAATAAAAAAATAAAAAGGGCTGGAGATGTAGCTCACTGGTAAATTGACCTTGGGTTCAATCCCCAGATCTTCATACTTTTCAGTATCTTCTTGAGGTTCCTTTCAGCCAAACTACTAGTGAAGTGTGATATCATTTCCCCTTTTGAATCTCTTAAAAGCTATTGAGTGTCTCACCAAAAAAAAAAAAAAAAAAAAAAAAAAAATCCACGAACCCATATCCATCCCATACGTGTAAATAATACACCTGCATTGTACATATTTTCTGAGAATTGGTCAGGTTGAGAAACACTTAAATGCTGTAAGTGAGAGTGCATATTTTTCTGAAGAAGAAACCCTTGGAATTACAACTCAGTTTGGAATTTCCCTTTCAAGTTACTGAAAAATTTATCTTGTCGTGAATGTGTGGATGTAGTTTTCCCCTGTGACAGAAAGAAAATTATTAGGACAGTCTTCTGATAAATTTAGCATGTTTGGGGGTCAGAATATTAGGGCTTTCCTATGCACAACCGTATGGAAAAGCCATTGTTGACATATCATATGTGCATTATGACTTTTTAAACTACAGCTGTGATTGTAATGGACAAGGTACAATCCTAAGACATGTTTTTAATGTATTTGAGTGCCTTTGTCCTTCTGTGCTTCTGGTCCCAAAGTAGCTCAGAAGAGTCTCTGCCGGGGGATTTGTCTTTGGAACCTTTCCAAGAGCTGAGCAGGTGATACCATAAACACATCCTAGTCTTGCCATTTGGGGTGAGCAAGTGGCTGGACATGGTGGCTCTTTCTGGATGTAAATTGATTGTAATGATTTCTTTCTTTCTCCTGGGCAGGATTTATGTGGGCATCATTCATGTGACACCCTGGGAATGGCAGACGTGGGGACCATATGTTCTCCGGAGCGCAGCTGCGCTGTGATTGAAGACGATGGCCTCCACGCAGCTTTCACCGTGGCTCACGAAATTGGTATGCAGTGCCTTTTCTCCTCCCTCGCCAAGTCAAACACTTGTAGCAGCTGCAACAGGAACCGAAATATTTGGCAATTAATTCCAGATTTCTTCTGGTTCAGATGTACCCGTTGGGGATTAAATTTGTTTATATTTGCACTTCTAGAGTTAACTAGTATGTGAGAAGGAAGACAAAGTCAGCAACACGGTGTATGTTTCCTCTGACAGTGTCACTTAAACGTTAAAGAGAAACTTGCTACTGCTACTATCTTCTTCCTGTCCTTTTAAGCTTTGCTAAGTGACTCCTAGACGAAATTTGTCACAGTCGCCTATGGAATGCGGAGATGTCCCTTTTGGAAGTCGTTCAGTATAAAACTGACTCATCCAGGGCTAATCAGTTTGCACAGAGATTTAACATGTTTGGCTCTATTGTTGAGTGAGAATAGCAGACTCCCATCAAAGGTAATCAGTAGCTTGTAGAAGATATTCCTGTGTCCTTCTTAATAGCATAGACAAGGGAAACCAAACTCAACAGGGTTTGCTTTAAGATGTCACTTCCCCAATTCGTTTGTTTTAAGAAACATCCAAACCCTACAACTCTAAATTTAGGACTCAGTTTAACTGTTAAAATATGTATGTGCCATAAGGAATACGTGCTTTCTAATCATTGACCTACACTACTATATGTTTGTGAAATTGGCTTAATACTTTGGACTAGGTGTTTGAATTAGACACTCTGAGTTCACTTCTTGCTAAAGTACCTTCTACCTGGATCACATGGGTCCAATTATTTTAACTCTCTCAAAGCTTTAATTTTTATATGTGAAATAATATGAGATAATAATGTCCATTTCATTGAATTATTTCATGGGTATTCATATCCACATGTACTTCTTTTGTGCCTTTTAGTTAAAGAATTCATTTATTTTCTTAATGTATATATTACCTTTTAGCATCATTGTTTTGGTGGGACAAAATATGGTTTGATAATTATTGTAGCTTTAATTTTTTTCTGTGTTTTTTTAAACAGATTTAGTTTCTTTAAAGCTAAAACCATAAATTTTAAATGGAAATTAAAACTTCTATTTCACAATCTTGGCAGGCAGAGAATATCTAGCTGTTATATTTCTTTGAGGAGTCAAAGTAACCTCTAAGTAAAGGTATAATCTCATAAGTCCCAATATTGTAGCACTTAAATAGAATTAAGTAGTTATGTTTCACCTCTTATGGAATAATCATGACAGTAATGTTCCTAGCACTCCTGACACTCTTATGATCTCAACTACAACAATAAAACACAAACATAAAGTTTTGATATAAATAACTATACAACAATGTCACGGGTGAGTCCACACTCCTTGAGCATCCTTGGCCTCAGGAACCAGATCTGAATTGGAGTGCCAAGTGCTGTCTGAATGTTCTCCGTGTTATGCAAGTGATTTGGGCATGTTGCACTGGAGGAGCTCATAGGCCTGATGGTGTTTTTAAAACATAAGCCATTTGATCTTCAGGGTAAGGGGCTTGTCTTCACTTGTCTCTCACTTATGCCTATGAAACTAGCTAATAACAACACATTCTGATATAGACCGTTAATCAGTATTTATTCCATTATCGGTGTATGTACATGAGTAAGCAGGAGAATGCAGCAAGGGAGCTGCTCAAGGCAACACCCAGATTCTGTAATGGGAATGAAGAAGAATTCATTCAAGTCTTCCAAAGGATTGTAATTAAATGGAGGAGAATTTAAAAGTACACCATTGTTAATCACCACTATATAAAGTGAGAGAAGTCCCATATGAAAGCATCTAAATCCCTCAACAGCCTGATGTGTCTCAGCAGGGTAGAGAAATGATAGGGAATGGGCAGCCAAGCTGGGTTTTGGTGTCATCCACCCACAGGACCCTGAGCTCCAGATCCAGCACTTCACTGGAGAGATCAGGCATTCCTTAAGGAAGGACTGTTTCTTCTCTCTTCTGCTCTCTGTAGTGATCTGCTTTCCCAAGATGGCAGCATCTGGGAGGTCTCCTGTAGGAGAAATGCCCTGGCTGTCAACGCAGCTTCTTCAGGACTGCTTTGACTCCCAAGCCAGTTAGGCTGGAATGAGGAGCCTGGCAGTGTCACCTTCTCCAGTCTTCCTGAATTCCTCAGCCAGTGCCTTGGTTATGCCAGCATGCGCACAGTCTGAGTGGTAGAAAGAAAGTCAGATATGATAAGAACAAATGTTATATTAAAACTATATACACATATGCAATGAGAACTTATCTTAATGACACAGGATTATTGGACATAGTTATAGAACAATGTCAGAGAAATGCAGACTTTCATATGCAAAATCAAACCTCAATCTCTGATGTATGATCACATCCTTTGGTCCCCTTTAACTTCTTGGTTGGATCACCTCTGTTTACCTCTTTAAAATTCTCTGTAAATCATTCTCCAATCAAATAGTGCCTGCTTAATTTCCCTTTTTGGATTATGAATGGCCTAATTTGAGACATATAAGGTCTAGAAATATGGATTTAATTTCCTTTTCATAAAGAAATCTGGCTTTCATTTGCTTTATTTTCTAATTGCTTTATTATTTAATTTTGCTTTTTGCCTAAGTATTACGAACATATGTTATAAAGTATCAGCCAGAAAATTTTTAGAAAATACACAAAATATACCTGATCTTCTGTGTATTATTAAGAGTCTTATCCCTAAATAAATCTTAAACAATACAGCTCACTGATCTGTTTCCAGTGCTTTTATTTTTGGATCTTTGCTTCAAGTCTTCAGCACAGCTTAAGCTCACCGTGCCCTGGATTCAAATTCTGCTGTATTCTTTCCATGGGATTTCCCTTCTTTCCTTTTATTACGTGTTTGTTGCTTTCCAGATTTAGAAGCTGTGTAGATGGGCTATGTATAGTGACAAAAATGACATTTGGAAACATCAGTTTCCCAGTGTTTTGAATATACTTAAGCCTCATTCCAAACTGTGCAGTTTGCTTCATGCAAACAGATAGTATAAATGTGTTACAGAGCTCAAAACACAAGCTGGGAGAAGATTTTCAGGTTCTTCCTATAATTTTTCTACTTTCTTTTTTCTATAAGCAGTAAAAGGATATGTCTGATTAAGAATAACACTTCCATTAACTGGCTTATAAGTTCTCATGGGAGAGTCCAACTGCTTCCTCTTTTTCTACATAGTGGTTTCAAATTTAAGATCAGATTTATTTTTTGAATGAATAAGTGAATCTAAATTTCCTTTTTTATTCTACCCTCTCTACAAGGAAAAAAAATCTACCTTGAGACTCATAAGATAGAGGAAAAAAATGAAATTTTTGTAAATTGCTTAAAGTTAGAATGCCATGGATGGAATAAACAATTCTGAAAAGATACTCTTTCATGTACTACATATTAATTGGATTATTTTTTCCTGCTAATTCTTTTTTTTAAGAGAGAGAGATAATTTTTAATATTTATTTTTTAGTTTTCAGTGGACACAACATCTTTATTTTATTTTTATGTGGTGCTGAGGATCGAACCCAGTGCCCCGTGCATGCCAGGTGAGCGCGCTACTGCTTGAGCCATTGAGCCACATCCTCAGCCCCTCTGCTAATTCTTAAAAAAAAAAAAAAAAAAGACAAGAAAGCAGCTGAGTTTTGGAGGTGCATAATCTACCAATACCAGGCTTCTGGAAAATAACTATTGATTAGTAGGTTATTGGCACTGGCAGTAATACATAAATTGCCTTAACTTCTTAGAATATTTCAAAAAGTTACTTCCAACCATCAAAAACACAGTCGCCATCCATGCGCCTTGGGTGGAGGTAGGAATGTGTTTACAGCCATTTTACAATCCAAATGTGAACTGCAGAAAGTTTTCAAGTTGATGTAAGTTTACATTTTGAGTTTATATTTTTAACTTGTCAAACTTTTATTATAGACTTGTTATAATAAAGATTTCACCTGCTGCACACATGGTTGTTAAAAACAATAATTTTATTGATGTCAAGCCAGCTTCTAATACACTAGGGAGAACAATCTGATTTTATTTAGATTAATGAAATCCATAATTTGCAAACATGCCAAAGGTTTGCTTTATAGTAGTTAATTATAAAATGTGTTAAGTGAATCTCTGCACTATGAAAGACTCCAATGTGCTTCCTAAGCTAAAGCCAGGCAATTTTAAAAAGTCAAGGCCAAATATTCAGTGAAGACTTGGGAAATAGCCGAGACACAACAGCAGGGTTGCCTGTGTTTTGCTGCGGTTAGAGGGTGTTCTCTGGTTGTGCTGATCAGCCTGTGACTACTCCCATCGATGATTAGATTAAACAAGGCCATGTTTTGAAAAGCTGTGGCAGCCCTTGACACACCATAGACCAAAGCTAAGTGCATAGCATCAGATGTCCAAACTGGCTGAGGTGAGAAGGAAGCTGGGATTTAACTTGTTATTTATCCCCAAACCCATCGCTTTAATCAATGTGAACGGAACATTTTTTTCTATCCAGTTTGGAGCAGTGCCACACTGTCTTTTTTGGCCTCAGATGAAAGGTAGGAATAGGTCTTTGCTATATGTCTAACAGTATTGAGTGATTTAGTGCTTGTTAAGTTTTTAAAACATCAAATCCCAATTCGTGTTTCTCTAGGGGAGGCCTCTTGATTTTCTGCTGCATGTGTGGAAATCAAGTTGCAGTTGGCAGAAAAAGGAAAATTGCACTTACTGTGTAATTTGTTTCTCCTCTAGTAACTAGGAATTTTTCTCTTCCCCTCCCAAATCAAGGTGTTTAACGATATTAAAATCACCAAAGACTAGTATACCCATAGTGAGAGCACAATGATCAATGAGGATCTATTAGCAACCCAGTGCCCCGTGCATGCCAGGTAAGCGCGCTACTGCTTGAGCCATTGAGCCACATCCTCAGCCCCTCTGCTAATTCTTAAAAAAAAAACAAAAAAAAAAAGACAAGAAAGCAGCTGAGTTTTGGAGGTGCATAATCTACCAATACCAGGCTTCTGGAAAACAACTATTGATTAG